ATATATATATATATATATATATATATATATATACACATATATATATATACTTTTGATTTATCAAATGCAAAAACTCCAACCACTCTAGATTTTAAGGCTTGTTGTGTAGTTGTATTTAAGGCTGAATCTAATTTCAAAGCTATCCTCATAAAAGCTTCGAAGCCAAATTAATTGCTGCTCACTTCCCAGCATGGCCTCTGTGTCATTGCACAGGAAGAGCACTACTCATAAATGAATTAAATGCAATTAAAGGTTTCCGGTCTCATTCGATTTTGCATTGTACGAGATTGATGTGTTGATGGAACGGATGGAGAAAGTAAGAAGGATAAAACAATATCTCTAGATAATTTTCTCTCGGGATTTCTTATTATTGCTAGTAAGTTTCCTTTATTAATAATAAATCACATAACAATAAAATAAAAATTATGACACATTGCACCTGTCAATGGAGGTATAGCAGGCTCCCGAGGGGTGACCAAAATAGCAAAACTTGAGCCCCTTTGATAACTTTTTGTTTATGTATTGGTGGCAGAAATAATTGAACATTGCTGAACATTCATGTTTAAAAATAATAAATCCACAGAACACATACAGTGATATACAATAAAATAAAAAATTTTACTTGGAAAAACAGTATTTAAATAATTGATTTATTGATTCCATCCATCCATCCTCTCCCCCTTCATTCCGTCGGGTCGGCTTGAGGCTGGTGCATAGCTCCGGCAGTTTATAGGCAAGAGCAGCACCTTGGACAGGTCGCCAGTCTGTGGCAGGGCAAATAAATAACTATTTACTTCTAGGTTTCTACACTACAAGGAATAATAGGCTGAGGTCATGTGTGACGGAGCTGAGGTGTTGTCAGATTGTAGTAGCTACATGATGAAGAAATGGTTTCTTTTTGGTGTTTATTTTCAGATTCAAGCCAAAAATTTAAAATAGGATAAACAAGAGTAAACATGAGTCAAGCTTTTGAGTGTTGGTAAAGTCTTAAGGAAGCAAAGGGCTCAGAAGCCAAATGAAGGGGGGGTGCTTTTTCTCCTAAAAAAATTAATTACATGTTGGCTAATGAATTAGCAGACCTGACAAGCGGCTGGCAAACACTACAAAACAAGCACTCACTGCCTGGGAGGAGTTAAAATTGTAGCTATCACCATCCATTTGTTTCACTGAGATTTAATATGATTTTTTTTCAAACATCTAAACTGCTATTTTTTTTTGTTTCCTTTACACCATAGCTCAAGCTCTGTTCAATGAATTAGGACCATCTGTGAATGTAAGTTTTCAATTTTTGCTCAAAAATCCGAATTTTGATTTTAACTTTGCCAATCTTCCCTTAAATTTGCCTCTCTAACCTGTCCTCAAGGAATTAATGCATCTTTTCTTTTGCCACATAAAGGATAAAATCTATATATTGTCTCATCAAACCAGGACACCTTATTTATCACATTAGCCTAGTCTCCTGAAGGTTTCTTGCTACTGTTTTTGAAGAAGGCTCCGACTGCGACTATTCTTGCACATACATTTATATAAAAAATACATCTAGTAGTTGTCTTGTTCGCTGAATTTACCACCTGAGCCATGGACCTGGAGAGCTCCTCTAGAGGTGTCATGGGCTGCATCTCTAGTTAATGCTTACCTCACTTTCTCTGTCAGCAAAGGATTGTAGTTGTTCAATACTCTTTCCATTTTTAGAAGATAAATGAACAGTTTTTTATGCAACGTTCATTGCTTTAAATCTTCTTTTACAGTCTAACCCTACTTTAAATGTTTTTCACAAATGAATTACTGACTTTTTGGTATGTTCCCGCTTTGCAACTGAGATACAGTTCATATGTGTGAATTATGACTCTGTAAAAACACAGTCATGATTTTGAAAACAATGATAAATATTATATACATGTATGTAATAATGTGTTATAATATAAACATTTACGATCATGCAATAGAAAAAAAAATCATACATAAACTCAAATGCATATTTTTTAAGTCTGTTCTTTGTATAAAGAGGTGACAGTGTGAAGAACTACCTATAAAATGAGAATAACCAGTGCTCAAATGTTTAAGCAATTTAATGAATGCATAGAACCTTACATTTAGCACATTTCTTTATGAGATCACAGTCAAGAAATGCCAAGTTAAAGACATACAGCGTTTACAGGGAGCTGACAATTATCCTGCTTGATATTATCTATCTTGATCATCAAATGTTTGTCTTTGTTAAACTCGACGACTACCAAGACTGCTTTTAATGAGCCACAAAAGATTGATCTAGTGAGAATGAATCATTATGACTGGCATTGATATTATAGGTAGCCCAATGAGTTGAACTATGAGAAAGCCAAGATTAATAATTGAAATCTAAAAGAAGAAGAACAAGAAGAGGAAGAAGAAGAAAAAAGAAAAGTTAATCCAAAGACAAATCTGCGCATTCGAATAGCACAAATTGTAGCTCCTTACTCAACTCTATAAGGGGTGAACAATAAAAACACTTTCAAGGTTAGGAAACAAAGTCCGGAAACATGCATGGATGATACTTGTCAAAGTGGAACTACAGCCTTCCAGATTAGAACTAAAAAGAAGTTATGCAATTATAGCAAATGGTTAAAGCTCTCCATTATAAAACAAAAAAACATATAAAGATGCGTGTACAGGAGCATGTGTTATACAAAGCACACCTGACAATTGTTTTTATGTCAAACTTCGTTAGGTTAGCTTTGCCTATATATCCTTTCTTGCAAAGGATTATGGGCAACCGTAGAGCTCCTATGCAGTGTATAGGAACATTGGGAGGTCCCTATGCTGACTGAATTATTAATAAGGAGCATCCTGCTTCCTCTTCCTACCTACTTCCTTCCTACCACTATTCAGACAGCACTTAATATGGCAGCTGTTAATTTTCTTCTATTTGGCTTAAGTCCCCATATTGATTTGTAGTATTTGGATGGCGCCAATTAGGTTTGCCAATGTACGCCACTGAAGCATTACATGGACATAGTCATCCCTGGGTAAAAGTATACTGAGATTAATTAAGGTGTGATTTTTCTCAGTTTTACTGATACGTAGATCAATCCCCAGACCAGATCAACACTGCCTGTGTCCAATCTTTTTACACTTTTATCAGTTTCTTGGTTGTTGTTTTTTTTCCCCTCAAATCACCGTTATCCATTGTTAA